TTCCGTGGGTCTTTTGGTACCGGGCCGCACAGAAAGAATAAATAACTTACATTAGTTCAGCTTTATTTATTTCGGACTCTAAAAGATGTTTTATTTTGAAAAATTACCAGATCCCCTGTTACATTACAGTATGCCACTCTTGACGCAGGTCAAGGCGCGCTTCCCGGTAGTCACGTGATAGGTTACCGCTAAAATGAAACTCAGGAGATAGCAAAATGAGTAAAAAACAAAGGTCTTTGGAAAGTTTCTTTGGGAAGGGGGAAAGGCCCAGCTAGGAGACAGAGGAGGAGCCTACGACTTTCAAGAAAAAGAAGGCTACATTTAATAGACAGTATCAGGAGTCCTACTTAAAATACTGATTCATCACAACGGCAGATTCCCACGCACCAAGCCCACTCTGCATAACATCCGTCGATGATGAGTCATATTTTTCATGCGCTTTGTATTTTCGGCGTATCTTATTTTGAAGGCACGTTTAAAACGTTACCATAGCGACCAGAGAGCGTTGCGGCCAGATAGGACGTTCCTCGTGTCATGATCCTTGTGTCATGATTCGTGTTTATTATGTTTTGAAAATACCACACTTTTCATGCAGGTCATATCATATTCTTTTTTTGTATTTATCCATCACACCTTAGAGGCCAGTCCCTGAAAATATTGTCTGATATTAAACCGGTCCATGAGGCAAAAAAGGTTGCGGACCGCTGATCTAATCCCACTGACATGCTTTCAGTGAACATTTCGGTTTGTGTGACCTCCTGTTAGGCAGCCTGACCACTCCTGCACAGTATAATGGCAACCAATCCCAGAGCTGTAGCTACAATTATGCAATATGTAATACCATACAGGTATTAAATTTAAGAATATGACTGATTACATGAGCTTGGTACCATTGGTGTCAAACAGCAACTTTTTTATAGTTTATTTGTTTTTTTTTTATTTTTTATTTTTGCTAAATCGACCATTTATATTTTTCTGTTGTGTTTTCAGAATGAACAGATGATAAGCCATCATGTCATTTGAGTCATTTAGCTCAAACGTCAACAATATTATTTGTCAAGTGCTATGTAAAATATGCCTGAGGAAAAATGCTGTACCATTACAATCAAGACAAAACAACAAAATCATCCTAAAAAAAAAGCTGATTTTATGTCGTATGAAGTTGCTCATCAAGAGGGATAAATGTGAGAAAAAGCCATTTTAGAGCTAGTTGGTGTTTTAAAATCGGATTTACAAACCACTTTTACTGCAGCTACATTTGGCTCAAGATAACTTCAACTGACACACGTCCATGTTTCTGCATTTGAAATGTCCCAGGTTGAGACAGAAAATGCCCTCCAATTCTGGACCCCTCGAAATTGTAGCATTCAAAGAGGGCACTTCTTTCCCTAGTGTGAAAACAAGGTGTGACATGGTGTTTCTCTAACAGATACCCATCCTAAGCACAGGAACATCGTCTTACACTGATTAAGTTACCTCACAGCAAATACTGTATACTCATATTGCAGCACACGGCACTCCAAGGTCAGATTTTAGACATTTCTGCTGCCAAAACCACAGCATGTGCCAAAGAAAGAATGAGGGTAAGCGCAACTAAGAAATGTTTCCTATCAGGATGTTTTTATTCTATTTTAAACTTCAATATTAAAATAATACCAAATATGATGTCATCCAACTTAAAACTTTGGTCATCACTGTAAAGGACTCGATGTGGTAGAAATTGTTGCCAACTTACCTGTACATGTTGAAGGTGCAAGTGTCCTCTGCAGGTTGATTTGGATGATGATGTTTGGATGTTTGTGCTCACTGAGCACCAAGCACCACTCAAGTATCTGTTACGCATGACTCACACATCCGCAGAGGCGTAGCCATCATGTCAGAAATGTGTGTGTGTGTGTGTGTGTGGTAGGGAGCCAAGTTTTATGAGTAAATGTTCCTCCGCTCGCCTTTATACCCAAATACTAAAAATCCAAGGGGACTGAACACCGAAATTCAGTCAAACTGTTCAGGTGCCAGATTTTTGTAATGTGTATAAAAAGATGACACAAAGATAAATCATTTCATCCTATTTCCACCTGTGACCTATAACCCGTACTACTGAATAGATGCCCCCCCACTCCTCCCCAGAGATGCCTAGTAAGTCTGTGCTTCGTCGGTGTCCGATGAAACTAAGGCTGAACTTTTTTACCATCATTCCAGGAGGTATGTTGACAGCAAACACAACACTGCTTGTCACCAAAAGAACAGCCTACAATTGACAGTGAAGCGTGTTGGTGACTCTGTCATGCTTTGGGGATGCTTTTCTTTGGCTGGAACTTGGGCCTTGATCAAGGGGGAGGGAGTTAGGTACAGTTCCAAATAGCAGTAAGTGTTAGCACAAAGCCTTATGGCTCTCACTAGCAACTCTTTATGAGCCCAACTGTATATATGATGATTCGTTACTAGTTGGCAGTTGTACACCCCAAGAGTATGTAAACTTCGGGCCCAACTGTAATTGCATCCCCCACCAAAAGGTACATAATTATCTTAGAGCTGCCACAAGATGGCAGCAAAGCATTGTTTTTTTCATGACTGATTCAATTCAAACGACTGTATTTCCTTGACACCACGCATACCTGTCAACTCATACGGTTTAGCCATATTTTATACGGATTTTGTGGTGAATCTTACGTATATGGCCATATCGCACAAATCATACGGATTCTGAAAATTTCCGGGGTTTTTTTTTGTATTATGGAGATCTACAATAAATATTGTGAAGAAATGCCTTGCACTCGAGGCAACACGTCATGTTATTGAACATTGCCGGAAAAAGCCATTTTCATTGTTAATTGATGAGTCAAACGAACAGAAGACTGAAAAGAGACTTGTGGTGCTTTCCGATTCGTTGCAACAGAAACACTGACAGCATTATTGCAGTGCAAAGTAAATATGAATGGATGCTGTAACTTCGAGCCGATGGGTCAGCATTTGGAGTTGGTGAAAAAAGTAACGCAGGAATACAACTCTGAACACAGTAATGCCACTAAGTAGAATGATGATTAGACATTCACCTGCCATTGTACTATGGAGATCTACAATAAATATCATTAAAAATTTCGTGGGTTTTTTTCTGCCGTTATTTTGACATATAAAATGTTTTGGTATGTTATAAGGATTTTTTTTGGTAGTTTACATGGGTTGGCGCTCCGAAAGGTTGACAGGTATGCACCACGAGATGTGCCAAAGCAGAAGTACCTTTGTCTAAGTAAAGCTCCTCAATTCACCTCAATATGGGTCATGTTTGTCCTCCTACAGAAACCATATTAAAACAAAAAATATATTTCCCTCCCCAAATCCATCCATTTTTCGATCCGCTGTTAGGGGAAAAAAAGCAATGGACTATGTAATAGTGACTGTCGATACTTTTTAAGTGTAAGTACACATAAAGTGGCCCGGTGGTCGTCTGGTTAGCACGTCGGCCTCACAGTGTAGAGCTGGAGGGTTTGATTCCGTCTCTGGCTTTCCTGTGTGGAATTTGCATGTTCTCTCCGTCCCTGTGTGGGTTTTCTCCGGGTACTCAGGTTTCCTCCCACATTTCAAAAACATGCATGGCAGGTTAATGGAACAGTCCATCAGAAAATGGATGGTCATAGTCGTATAGTGTGTGCGTGCGTGCGTGCGTGCGTGCGTGCGTGCGTGTGTGTGTGTGTGTGTGTGTGTGTGTGTGTGCGTGCGTGCGTGCGCGCGCGTGCGTGCGTGCGCGTGTGGGCAGGGGGCTCATTACTTTCTCCTGTTTCCTTGGTCTTTGACCTACTGTCGATGCCATTGCTTGCCGAGTACTTTACAATCTCCTGTACAGTAGGTGGCGGTATGAACAGAGAAAAAGTAATTCGCCCAAAGTTTAAAAGAAGAAGAAGAGAAGGGGGGGGGGCGGAGGAGAAGGAACACGCCCCTCTACAAATGCATTCCTTTGGCGATGCTAAACTAGGGGCACCGGCGTCAGTGAGTTCCTTGCGTTTGGACGGCAAGAAAACTCCGAAATAAGGGTGCCGCCACATTGTGACGCACATGCTTACATTCAACGTCGTACTTTACGGACAAGGAAACAAGGAATAACATTTCATAGTTAAACATAATGTTGAGCTTTATTTTTTTTTATATGTTATATATTGATAGCACACGTTCAGGCATTGTCAATAATGTAAACCTCATAATAGTCAGTCAAGAAATTTGCAAAATACGATTTAATTTCAATGTCAATGCATTGTGTTTTGATAATTCCATTGACCTTACCATCATGGCCGTTACGTAGGCATGTTGCTTAGCTCCAGCGCACTGGCGTATTTTGCCCTCATTGTCATCGGCTGCTGGAACTGATCTCGGAAAGGAGCACGAAGATATAAACAGCATATTGCAAATAAGGAAAGGTACTAAAAACGTAACGAGTTACAATTGTATCGCAAGTGAGTCCGAGAGACGACGGGACTTTTGCGGTGGGGAGGGGTTACTCTTTCGAGAGGGGAAATTACCAGGGCAAGTATTTTGAGTATTATATGAAAAGCATTAACCAAATGCTGTTAACATGTCTTTAGCGTTGTGCTCACACTCTCTATATTTGTGATTTTCGTTGTAGAGGTAAACTTGCTACCTTTGCACGCTCGTACGATCCAATAAACGTTTGCCCTTTCTTTTAGTGCATGTAAACTCGATGAGCGTTTGATACGTATTAAACATTCATCGAGTTTATACCAGTGATACTGACAGGGGTAAATGCGGTGGAAACGGCGAACGCTGAAAAGACAGAAATGCTGCAAACATCCATCCATCTATTTTGTCATCCGCTTATCCTCATGAGGGTCGCCGGCGTGCTGTAGCCTATCCCAGCTGTCTTCGGGCAGTAGGTGGGGGACACCCTGAACTGGTTGCCAGCCAATCGCAGGGCACACAAAGATAAACAACCATTCACGCTCACTGATGCCAAGGGACATTTTAGAGCAGGGGCAGGGAACTCCGCTTCCTGGAGAGCCAAATCCTGACTGTTTTAGCTCTCTCTCTACTCCAATTCACCTGACTCAAACAATCAGCTCATCAGCAAGCTCTGTATAAGCCTGAAACGAGCATGATCAACCGAATGAGGTGTGTAGGAGTAGGGAGAGATCTAAAACAGGCACGATATGGCTCTTAAGGAACCGGAATACCCTAGCCCAGGTTTAGAGTGTTCCATTAATCTACGTGCATGTTTTTGGAATGAGGAAACCGGATCAAGTACCCAGAGAAAACCCACGCAGGCACAGGAAGAACATGCAAACGCCACATGACCTCTGCACTGTAAGGGGGACGTGCTAACCCGTTGACCATCATGCCGCCCATGCTGCAAACAAAAAAGCCAGACAAATGCAAACACCAACTAAAAAACACACAAAACTGCTAAACAAAAACGTTGCAAGCATGAAATGCTGCAAATGGCCAGACGCTGCAAACACAGGAACGATGCAAACAATAAACAAGCGCATCATTGCAAAAAAACACACACAAAGAAAAGGAAGAAATGCTGCAATCACAGCAAGTGGAAGCAAACCTCAAAACAAATCCAAAAAAAAAAAAAAGCTGCGAAAATCCAAAACACCCCAACTCAAAAATGACAGCAAGAAAAAAAACATGCAAGTTCATGTCACTAAACGGAAGTTTGCAGGCCACTAGGGGGCTGGACCAGTCCTGTGAGACCAAGACCTGAGTGGGATTGCTGATTAGGAGGTACATACCTGTAACCCCAATTTTGGCCTCCCTTCGCTGGCTCCCATTACATTTTACAGTTCATTTTAAGATCCTTCTATTTGTTTTCAAATCTTTGCCCTCGCTCACCTCTCTGAGCTCCTCCACCCCGATGCACCTACCTGGTGCCTCAGGTCTGTAGACCAGACGCCAGAGGTGCCGGGGACTAAGTGGAGCCTCAGAGGGGATTGCGCCTTTTCTGTTGCCAGTCCTTCCCTCAGCAATGACCTTCGCTTCAATGTTAGGCAAACTCGTTTGAGGACATTTACTGTTTTCACTTATTTTTGGTTTTGGATTATTAATATTTTGTTTGAGGGTAAATGCTTTGTTACAGCTGCACCTCTTGTGAAATGTGCTATATAAATGAAGTTGTATTACATGATAGACAAAGCTACATGGTGGACAAAAGTTTACTTGAGACCAGAAAAAGGAAAAGATCTGGTTTAACAGGAGTGCCACCCAGTAGCCTGGCAAACATCCGTTTCGTTGCGTGAACTTACGTCAATTTTTTTCTGGCTTTTGTTTTGGAGTTGACGTGTTTTAGATTTCCGGAGCTTTTTTTTTTTTTTCATTTGTTTTTTAGTTTGTAATGTTTGCTTCCATTTTGTTGTTGTGATTGTAGCATTTCTTTCTCGTGTTTTTTGTATTCTTCTGCGTTTGTGTGTTTACGGTTTTTGTTTGCAACATTACTATGTTTGCAACATTTGGCTGATTTCAGCATTTCTTACTTGCAGCGTTTTTGTTTTACAGTTGTTTTGTGTGTATTTTAGATTGCAGTTGTGTGTTTGTATTTTTTTAAATTTGCATCTTGTTTTTGTTTGTTTGCAGCAGTTTAGTGTTTGCAGTGTTCGGCCATTTGCAGGGCATTTACACCTGTCGTCCACTGTACTGTGCAGTTTGTCATGAATCTCTCTTTATGATACTGCAGGTTTAGTGACCAGTAAGTGTATATTTAATTTAAAAAAAATAAAAATAAAAGAAAGGTGGCACTGGATGCATAGAAAGTGAACAAATAATTTTATTTGTCTGCACCAATGCTCAGGTCAAGCATGCTGACTGCTCTCAAAGGCGCAAGGCTCTCCTTAAGATATATGAATCTCTCTTTATGATACTGCAGGTTTCGTGACCAGTAAGTGTATACTTAATTTAAAAAAATAAAAATAAAAGAAAGGTGGCACTGGATGCATAGAAAGTGAACAAATAATTTTATTTGTCTGCACCAATGCTCAGGTCAAGCATGCTGACTGCTCTCAAAGGCGCAAGGCTCTCCTTAAGATACTTCAGGGGTGCCTGTGATAAAGGTAAAACAAGTATTCAAGTATATTATTCTAAAAAAAAAATTAACCAATGAATATTCTTTAACCAACTGCACTGTCCCCCAACCTAGCTTGAATTTAAGTATGACTAACACTTAATCTACATAATTGTATGCGCGCTGTATACCATGAAGAGCTGAGCCTCTGCTGAGTGGGCACATAACTCACGTCTATTTGAGTTATGTGATGTTATGCGTAAAACAACATAAGAACTACATTACCCAGCATGCCACAGGAGTTTCGAGTACAAGATTGAAGAAAAGAGTCCACGAGTTCTATCCAACACGCCTCGTCTCCTTCATTACATGATAATAGAGACAACAAAAAGTGATGTAGCGAATGAACAGAAGACCTTGTTGAGCCACTAAAGCTGTTTGAACAAGTAGTCAGCAGGTGGCGCCTGGATGAAATGCATGTGCAACAGAGAGGAGGTTTCAATGGGGATAAACCTTGAATTAATGAATTATTCATACACAACCAAACATACCTGTTTTGAGGCTTGTCGTTTTATGATTTACCATCTGGAATATTTTTTCCTCCGCTGTGTTTTCATGAGTGTATTTTTTCTCTGTGATGGCAGTGTCGGATCATTTAAAGTTGTTGGGTCCTGCTGATTTAAGGCTGCTGATTAGGAATGAAGATTCCAGAATAACAAACACATCTGGATTAGCCAATGGTAAGAAACGTGCGCATTACAGTCATGCATATTTCGGTTGGCTCTGGCCAAGACTTATTGACATTGTCTTTGGAACATGAGACTTTTTTTTTGTTGTTGTTAAGAATAGAAAGTATCAGTAAGTAGAATCAATCGAAATTGCATACACTAAGTCAATTAATCTGTTGCCAGCTTCTTTATTCGAACCAGTGAGCACTGTCGCGATAAACCTGGATAAGTTGATTATTCAGTACTTGTGTAACAGATAGCACCGTCCACCCACTCGGGGCTCGAATCCGCGCTGCCACCTTGCTGCAGGCTTGGAAGTGGAGAGTGCTGACCGCTAAGCAAAAAGTCCAGACCGCCAGCTCAGCGGCCAGGACCTCCATTGAAGGCTCAGAGGAGTGAGGTTTCACAAACAACCAGCTCAAACTGGCATCTGTTACATTTAAACCGTTTGTGCCAAGTGATTGCTTCAAATTGTTTGAAGAAGCTGACACTCGGGAACATGTATTGGTTCAAGTTTAGTTCATATTAAAGTTAAATGTGCGATAGTCAGCGGCACGGTGGGGGATGCAGACGTCCAGGGTTTGATTCTGGACTGATTCGGTCTAATTTTGGCACTGGGAAATCGCACCCTAACAAAGTATGGGTGTGTGTGCGTACAACGGTTTTCCTCCCACATTCCAAAAACATGCATGGCAGGTTAATGGAACACTCTATCACATACCTGTCAACCTCGGCTAATAGCTGCCCTTATAAATGATTACGATTCCCCTTCCAAAGCAACAAAAACCCGTACAACGGTTTACCACGCATGCGCACATCATGCTTTATCAATCCGACCGTAAGCACCGATGAAAAAAAAAAAATACGATTGAGGATTACTTTTGCTGGTTTGCCGTGACAATAGTAGCGATGGACGACGGCATTGTCGTTGGCTACCAGCAGGTGAGACGATCTGGATTTGAGCCAAAATGGTCTTTGTGAGATATTTGAAATGATTAAAAAAAAACGTATAAAATACGGGGAAAACATACAAGTTGACAGGTATACTATCAGAAAATGAATGGTCGTAGTCATATTGTGTGTGTGTGTGTGTGTGTGTGTGTGTGTGTGTGTGTTGTTTATCCATTTTGTTTGTTGTGGTAGGATATCAGCAAGCAAATGTTGTCATCGTTCCCAAACATCTGGCCAAAGATTTTGAAGTGTTTTGTCGCAGTAATCCGGCACCTTTGCCACTCCTGTACTGCAGCCAACCAGGAGAGACCTCATGCCCACCTCTGGCAAAAGACGCTGACATCAGGTAACACCTTTTCTGCCAATTGTGTTAAGTGTAAGTAGCCGATTATCTTGAGCTGAGCTTGAAATGCTGTGAGTTTTAATTTCATTTTCCAAAGTGAGATGTCCTGTTTCAAATAAAGATGAATTTATTGACGATAAAACTGACAAAGACAAGAGTTTGGAATACATCTCTCATCTCTGAAACCTGAGCGTCTCAGTCCACTGTAAAGAGTACACAGATCAGTTTCTCTGCTGCCCTCATTGAACGGTTCAGAGTAGATGATGGCATGAAGTGTCTGGTAGCGTGTCAGCATCTTTTGGGAGAGAATATAGATTGCTGTACAGTAACGTTGTTTATGAATTTCTACCTCAAAAAATATCACTGAACCGCAGAGGTAGGAATAAGTCACTTTTGTGCAAGTCACAACGAAGTCTGGAGTCAAAAACCTTCGAGTCTCAAGTCAAGTTTATCAGTTTGAACATCTTGCCTTTGTAGTGTATTGAAAAAGGTTGAACATGATTTGCAAATCATTGTATTCTGCTTTTATTTATGTTTAACGCAACGTCCCACCTTCAGTGGAATTGGGTTTGCAGTTCAGGACTTATGCCACTTTATGTTGGGAATTATTCCCAATTGCCAAATTGACTGGTCCAGAAATCACTCTAATTAACTCATTCAGTACCAGCCAATTTGAGGGAAAAATTGTCATTATCATAATTGTCAATAGATTTTTGTTTCGATATTTGCTATCATATCTCAAAACTATGGTCAAGTGGCATGTGATATAAGTGACACTTTGACCCCAATATGTGGTTGAAAAGGTCAACTAAGTGTTGAATAAGATTATGCCTAAATACAGTAAGTTTTGCAATGCTTCACATCTTAGATAATAATCATCCAAAAAATGATTTTTGTCATGTCAATAGTTGTATAGGAGGAAAATGTTCTTGCTTTATTTTCTGTGCTATCAGGACAGACATCTCACAGTACCGAGTGTATCAGGATGGTGTTCTGGAAAAAAGTGTCTCCAGCCTGCTGAACTACAGCAAGTCACTCAGGTGACCTCTCACACAAAAATAAACACTACAAAAGAATGTTGCTTAGTTGAGCTCAGTTTGTTTTTTCCACAAGAAAACTACAGAAGATAATGTATTGAAATAAATAATTGCACCATAGAAGCCCGGACCAGAGCCATCTTAACATAATCTGTTAAATAGGTGTCATTCGTATCATTTGGATTCGCACTTGACACGTTGTCTGTTTTTAGGGCGGTCTCGCAGAAGCCGTCTGCGCCGTGTGTGGAGTGGTCAGACATGGTTTGTTTCTATCTGGGCTGCAGCTTTGGCTTTGAGGGCAGCCTGAAGAAAGCTGGAGTTGTTGTCAGGAATGTGGAGCAAGGCCGCAATGTCAGCATGTACAAGGTGTGAAACAAATGCGTGAAGGTCCTGTCGGTGCATTAACCAATAACGACAGCCTGATAACATGATAAGCCGTCCACTGTAGTGACCGCTGTCCCTGAAAGGGTTAAGTTAATGAAACGCTAAAATGGTCTTTGGGTGTGAGCAATCCTATAAATAAATGGTCATTGCCAATATCATGGTGAAAACTTGTGTTTCCAGACTGCTGTTCCCTGTATTCGAGCTGGTGTTTTCAGTTGCCCTCTCGTGGTGTCCATGCGTCCAATTCCACCTGCCATGCTGGAGGCAGCAGTCCAGGTCACGAGCCTTGACCCCCAAGCACATGGAGCCCCCGTGCACATTGGCGATGGAGGTGCCCAAACACGCTTTTAAAGGAAATTGTCTCTCTCTTTTAAGTATATGTGAACTTTGGTTTTGCATGTTTAGCTTTCCTAGGCATACAGGACCTGTCCCGACCAGATTATGGGGATCAGGTTGAGCTGCAGCCCGGGGATGTTCCAGTCTTCTGGGCCTGTGGAGTGACTGCCATAGAGGCAATCGTCAGCAGCAGTCAGTCTCCCATGTTTGAAAATAGTTTGTACTGTACTATTGTTGATCGATCAGCAATGCTTGGACACTGTTACCTTCAACATTATGGAAAATTGTGTCACCTTTAAGGCGATCACATTATTTTCCTAAAATGCCGCGAGTGTACATGTACACACACGCGTATGTAAAACCGAGCCATGGCTTTTTCAAAACATTCAATGACGTGGAGCTTAGTGCCTTGTGAGGACCTGACGCAAGTGTTGTCAGCAAGTAGGAACAAACCAGTGCCTTCATTTGGAAGCAAAAGAACATTCATCATGTTGTTCACCTCATTTCTTCCCCACTTGAGTATTCAGCTTGTGTGGGAGAATCTCAAACCTCAATGTTCCTCTTCTCTTTTTTTTTTTTTTAATTTTCTGTGAATTATTAGAGCAACAACATGAGTACATCATCAGCCCACAAGGCCCCAAGGCCTTTGCGACCGGCTGTAATAATATATTTCACAATCTCGACAGTCTTATTTTTCTTTTCATCGTGATGATTCTTTGATTTGTTTTCCCTAATGATCCCCTAATGACTGTGCTGTTCAAAAAGACCTCATGTTCCTTGGTTTCCAGAGCCATCATTGGCGTTCAGTCACTCACCGGGCTGCATGTTCTTGACTGATGTTCAAGACCCCTCCCTCCTATCCCACGGCCCTGACAGCAAGAAATCGGAAGCCACAGCCCTCTGCTTCCAGATATCTGAAAACCCCTTGTTCTACAGTCTGGCGTCGCAAGGGGCTGTGACACAGATCAGGCAACTGGATGCAATCATCGGCGAAGACCCAGGTACTGTACATGAATACTTGGTGTCCGCTACACAATATCGCAAAAGTACTTGCACAGTACAGTGTGCCTCTTACGTGTGTCTCTTACATGTCTTGAGGTGATTTTTTTTTTCACATTAGAACTTTATAAACAGGATTGATTTTGTTACATCGCGGTTAATGGGGACCGGGACCCTGCCGCGATAAGTGAGAAACCGCGATGGAGCGTTGGCAACCCCCCCGAGGAATTTTTGTGAAGTGTATGTGGGTATGTTTTAAATATGTAAACAGTATTTATACTTTACATATTTGAGGAAAAAGACTAGAGCAGTACACGTATTTACTTAAATCTTTAATCATAAATCCTTATACAGGAATTAACTACTACTAATCTGTATTGGTATGGGGAAAAAAAAAACATAACGGTCACTCTCTTTTACCGAGGCAAAGATCTTAAACTCAAACACTTTCTCTCAGCCATTTAATTTGAATTGTGTAGTTCTTCATTAAAATGTCATGGTGAATAGAAGATTGACCAAAAGAAGAAAATACTGTCCAGCGAGTTGTAAATGTTCTCGGTCTCGGATAAGAACTGTCCTAAAAAGCACTGCCCGACACTGTCATTTGTTGATTGATTGTGTTCTGGGTCGGAGGTGGAGTCTCCCTACACGTCTGAGTGGGCCTCCCCATTGGCAGGAAATGGATCTCACTTTTTTCCAACCTCTGTCAAACAGGTCAACGGGGCATCAAAGCTTTGTTTATTCAAGACGAACTTCTGCGCTCTTGTCTGGCACTCTCACACTCATCCTCTGTTGCCATAACGACAGGCTTCCCAACACACTACATGCACAGGTACAGTACATAAACGTTTCAAAAAGCTCTAGGTGTGTGATATTAGATTAGATTTAGTGCCATAAAGACGAGTTTTACACAGACACACACAAGGTCCTGCGATTTTTGTTGCTCAACCAAGTCAGGCCTCTCTGCACCTGCATCCGTCACATCTGAGCATCCTTTTGACCTGTTTCACCTTCAGTCCTCCTGATGAGACTGATGGCCCACCTGGAGCTATTGCCATGGCAACCATGCTGCTTTCCCTCGGCAAGCAAGTTACAATGGTGACGGACAGGAGAGCCTTGGAGATGAATCAGGCCATCATTGATGAAGCTGTGAGGACAGGTAGGAGTTTTGTGCTCAGTTTATTTCAATTTTTTAACATCTGAATGTGCATACGGTTTTTAAATGTATTTACTTATTTATTTTTTTATTTTGAATTTACTTTTCTTTGGCTACACAACCAAAGGCAAGTGTTACAAGTGTGTCATGCAGGTGTAGCTACCACAAGTGCAGCTACTCCGTGTCACCCTTCTAGTAAGATGTCAAAGAACAAATAAATCAACGTCTCGCATATACATCAAATTATCCAAATCTTTTCAATTTAGGGTGCACCTTAGGTTGCAGTGAGATTGGCAACGGTAAACTCTTTTTAGAGTAAAGTGAAACCCCCCAGCAGAAATAAGACACGCTGGCAGACATTTATCAAAAGTATATTGTGTAAATATTTACACAAAGAGTCACCGGGAAACAAAACTGTCAATAAATAACTCTTTTGACAAAAAAATTCTCCAACTCTGAACAAGAATAAAAAAATAAATAAATAAAAAAGAACAAGGAAAAAACACACAAGTTGACTGTATGTCTAATACTCTCAGAGTCCCCCTCAATGCTGAGGGCATTCAAATCAAATTTTCGCAATATAAATTCAAGTTCAAGTTTGTTATCAGTTCCTATCAACGTTGGTATCAGATCTGACCCCTTGTGACGATAAGCAGATTAGAAAAGAGATGGATGTGTATGTGTGTATAATATTGAAATTTGAATGTTAATTTTTGTGGAAAAATTCTCCAAATGTTTTTGCACTTGATGTTGGTTTACTGTTGAGCTGTTTTGTGCCGTCCTTGAAAGGTAATCTTTGTGCAAGCGGGCCTTTTGTGCTGGGGGGGTTGGGGGGGGGGGGAAACTACAGGGGGAATTTTCTGGTGA